ACGACTGCGAAACTCTAGCTCGCCCGGTGACGGTGCCTTCTTCCCCTCCCCCCGCCACGTGCCGCCTCCATCGCCGCCGCCACTGCCTAGGCCATGGCGCCCCTGCCCCGACCTGGTCCGGCCGCCTCCACCGCCGCCAAGGCCCCTAAACCGCCTGCCCGCTTCCCCGCCGCCAGGCCGTCCATCCTCCCCCAAGGCCCTTTCCTTCTAAGACCACCGAAGTTTGGGAAGAAGAGAAGAGAAACTCGTCGGAACCCTAGCTCGCCCGAAGAGGAGGAGGAGGACGACGAGGAGGAGGAGGCCTACCTCGTCGGATCCGCCATGGCAGGGGCCGGATCCGCCCCCAAGCCATCATCCATGGCGCGGTGGGGCGTGGGGAGGAGCTCGCCGCTGGAACCAGCCGCCGCTGCCACCATTGGGGTGAGAGGGAGGAGCCACGACGCGTGGGGACTGAGGAGAGGGAGAAAGCACATCGGGTGCGTAGGGAGCGAGAAAGCGCATTGGCGTGTGGGGAGGAGTCGGGTAGATGGCCGTGCGATGGCCCTTAATAATATAGTCGTCCGTTATTAAGCCTTTACCTTTAATATAATTTTGTTACTTTTTTATGGTTGGGCATACAAGCATGCATTTGATGAATTCTTTCTGCACTCCTACAGCTATTGTACCCTAATTTAGCCATTTGTTGTCATGGTTTTAAAGGAAAGATATATTACGACATGGTTAAGCTCCTCGATTTTTATAAGGGCATGGCTGCAACTTCTATTAATAGTTGTTCCACTTGTCTCTTTTGGTTGGATGTTTGGAATAATCACATCCTGTCCCTACAACTACCACAACTTTTCTCATTTGCTAAGGACCAAACTATTACAGTACAACAAGTATGCCAAACTCGAAACTTGTATGACCTTTTCAATCTACCTCGGCTAGAAAAAGCTTTTCAGCAATTTCAGCAGCTGGTTCTGGTTCTGAATGACCTCCATCTGCAAGCAACCCTAGATCAATGGACAAATATTTGGGGTTCCTCCATCTTCACCCTAAAGAAAGTTTATAATCATCTCATCGGTTCGCCACAGGTCCATTCAGTATTCAGATGGCTCTAGAAGTCATGTGTCAGAACAAGCGCAAGGTGTGCTTTTGGCTTCTTTTGAGAGACTGTTTGACCGTTTGAGTACCAGGCAGCTTTTGAGATGGAGAAACATGCATTTGGATGACTACAATTGTGTTCTCAGTGCATCTCCTTTAGAAGAGACTGCAGTTCATATGTTTCTTTCCTGCCCCTTTGCCCAAGTTTGCTGGGCAAGTCTAGACCTGGTTGCTACTCAACCTATCGCCCGACGCTGCGTCTCGCCGCCCAGCTCCCCGCCCGCAGGAGGCCCTGCCCCAATAGCAGTGCCACGCTCACGCTCAGAAGTCGAGAGGAAGAAGGTGTGTTTTTCGTTTTGACCCCTAAATATGTTTTCATAATTACATATAAGTCCATTTCGAGTTAGAGCTCGCCAAAGCGGTTTGGTGGGAGGTCAACTCCTTTGAGAGTAGCTCTATGGTGGAGCTCGTGCTCTCGAGCTGTGTTTTCAGAGTGGAGCCCCGCCAAATAGGCCTTAGTGTGCCCTAAGCTGACGGCGACGATAGTGATGCTACCCCATTTGGGAGAGCTCTGTTCCCTTATTCTTAGTTCTCGCTCCTTGATTCTCCGATAGAGTGGTTCCATTGGATTCCTAGGAGGGAGCAAGGTGGGGAGCCGATGAGAATTGATTCTCTACTGATCCCCACCAGAATATAATAGGGAGTAAGGTGAAACATTTTTTAGCTCCTAGCTCCTAGTTCTCTTCTGATACCCACCTGAATCGGTTGGCATTTTGAGCATTTGGCAGGTTGGGAGTGATTCTCTTCGGAGAAGCTGAAGCTCTCCCAAACGGTCCCATGTCCTCTCAAATCCACCAACCTTTAGTTGGTTTCTATATTTTATTTTTGTACACATTTTTAATTTTTTATGCATCGATTCGACACCAATGTATCTCTTGGTTCCTATGCAGATGTACTTAGGGCGATCACGAGAAGGATGAATAAGTGGCTATGATTCTTCTATTCTTTGTGTGGGCTTACGACATTAACTCTTTGGAAGCACTTGTGAATGCTTTGGCCCCGTTTGGCACATCTTGGCTTCTCCATTGTAGAAGTAGCTTTCTCGATGAAGGTAATCTGTTTTGAAAAAAAAATTGTTTGGCAAAATAGCTTCATCAACAGCATTATGCATGATTGAGAGAGGGAAATATGGGAGAGAACCGTGAAAAGCTATTTTTCAACTTCACTTATCTCTATTCCTTTTGAGAGTATTAAAATGAACTTCACCCGTTAAGTCGTCGTAAAAAAGGGTGTTCGGTAAAAAACTGCTCACAACAACTCATAAAAGTGTCAAGTGAAGTTGTGCTAAATAGGACCTATATGTGCTTCTCATGACACCCTACACCGATGCATTCATGGGAGATGCCTTTGAGTGACTCCGATTCATGTCACCACGGTCGGATTCACCACCCTCCCCAGCCATTTGTCTTGTGGTTTGGACGGATATGGAGTCAATCTTGGGGCAGCCGGATCCAAGGGTTCTTGAGTCCAAATCTGCTCGGTGGTGACGCATAGGTGTCATGTGATGGCTTCTTTAGTGGCAGTCATTGTGCACAACTACTCATCGTGGTGCGCGAGGGTGGCTATAACCATGGCCTCAAACGATTTGCAGAACTCACAAGGTATTGGTGGTGGACTACTTCTGCGTGTGGGTAGTGGGTGGTTGTTGTGGATGTGCTCACGAAAGCCTCAACGCTGTTCCTACCAATCTTGACAACGGCGATGCCTTTAGGGCGCCGTTTCTCTTCTTGAGGTGTCATTATGGCACTCCATAGCCCTCCTATCCACCGATCTCTAGGTGAAAACTTTGCCTTGGATTTTCAGGTGGACAACATCGGTGACACTCGTCATTTCCATCCTTGGAAGCGTCGCTTTGGAGGTCCATCTTCACAAAACGTCGATAAGTGGATTTATGCAACCCCAACCTCTTGGGTAGTGAAGCTTCGAACTTGTGTAAGATATTTTGTGTGCTATCTTCACTATGGAAGACATTCGTTTGCAGGAGGCCATAATGTTCGGAATTGTGCATCAAGTTTGGATGGCAAAGTGCTGGGATTTAGTGAGTCTTATTTCTTTGTTTTCTACCTTAACTTTGTATCATCCTCATATGGGTGGAGTATAGTCTAAGCAACGTAAGTCTGTTATAAACGGATATACACTTATTCATTTATGAATGTTCGAAGTTACAACATTATATTCCTTTATCAATAAAAGTGCTGGCATATTAATCCAATGCCAAGACCAGTGTTGACTTGCTGGAAAACACGGCTCATTTGCATTTCTAGCAGGCCAGGCCTCGTTCGTTGCACTCCATGGGCTAGGCTACGGGCCTCAAGCAGAAACTATACAGGTTGAGGCGGCACTACGGGAGCTTGTTAAAATAGGGGAACGAATAATGAAGAAGAAGGTGGGCTGGGTGTTACTCACGGAGATGCATGGAGAAGGTGGGGACGACGCGCATGCCGTGGTCCCGCACGTGGGAGAAGGCGACGATGTAGAGCCACGCCGCAAGCCCCTGCGCTTGCTTGCTCCGTGGCACGTACATGTCCATCACCATCACCGTAGGAGCCGCACCGCCCCTGTGGCCGTCGAGGAGGCGCAGTACTGGAGGAAGGCCTCGTCGTCGGGCGTCTCGAACCTCCCCTTGTCCTACCACCACACTATGCTCTCCGTCTCCCGCGGAGGAGCCTCCACCGTCCACTGGGTCGCGCCGCCACCCTCGTTCGCCATCACCCCTCATTCCTACCAAAATATCAAAGGATGTATTTGTAATTAAAATGAACATTAAAAGATTGTTCTGATATTATTAGATGTTGAAACCGTCAAATTGTTTTGAGATTCGTGCCAATGTAAATCCTAATAAGACCACCTCTAGCGCCTTTCCCCTCTCCCTCCTAACATAACCGTGCCGCCGCCACTCCTCTTTCTTTGGTACACCCACACACCCACCCACCACCACCATAGCTGCCGTCATAAGCTCCCCCTCTGAGCTCGCTCTTCCTGCTACAGTCGTCGTCTTTGCCTTCCCCATGTGCGTCGTCACATGATGTTTAATTCGCTACACTTAGTAAGTATCACTACCATCTCTTGTTGTTGTGGATCTACTAGTCACTTGCTTCTCTGACGCCAACCTTCCAACTATAGGTAACCACTTTCCCCATCTCAAGCATCGCTGCCAAGGTTTATCGCTGTGGATCAGCCTTACTCATTGCTTGGTTCTCCGTCGCCATCCTTCTAATTAAGGTAACCACTTCCTCATCTACACTACTATAGAAAAGATTTTGCGAGGTAGTGCCCTTTTATTACTGAGGCAGGCGGGCTGGGCGGCCACCTCCGTTAATCGGTGGTAGGGCCGCCGGCTGAGCGCCTACCTCAGTTAAAGATTAATAGAGGTGGGCAGATTTAGCTGTCCGTCTCCGTTAATGCTCTAACAGAGGCGGTTGCTAAATAACCACCTCCTAAAATCTAGTAACGGAGGCGGACCTCCCAAAAAGTAGAGGCCATTTTCGGAGGCAGACGCCTTATAAGGCCCACATCCATAAATATATTGAGGCCTAGCCAAAAGCCCATACCATACCACCTATCGGGCTTATATAAATTGCAGAAGTTAGGGTTTCCTGACTTATCTCTCTTAGTTCCTCCCTCACCGCCCCAGCGCGGCGCCCCCTTCTTTTCCCGTGCGCCCTCCTTCTCCGGTGCACGGTGGTGCCCCACCTTCTCTCATACACAGCGATGCCCCTTCCTCTCACCCGTGCATGGAGGCCCTCCCCCACCCGAGCTGGCAGTGGCGCCCCTCCTCCACTAAGCACGACAGCGGCGGCGGTGCCACTCCTCCAACCCGAGCAGGCTGTAGTGGCGGCGCCACTCCTCCATCGATCATGGCGGTACTGCTCCACCCTCAAGCGGCGGATCCGGCTCGACGGCACCCCTTTCCCACCCTCGACGGCAGATCTGGTGAGTGGCGCTTCTTCCCCACCCCCGATGATGGCGGATCTGGTTCTGGAGGCATGGATCTGGTGGTGGTGCGACCAGATCCGGTGGCGGAGGCGCGGCGCGGGGCTCGGCCCTTCTCCGGTGGTGGCGGTGGCACGAGGCTCGGTCCTTCTCCGGCGGTGGCCAGATCCGGCTAGTAGGCTGGGAATAGGCTCGCCGGTGGGCTCGAGAACGGGCTCGCCGTTGCGCGTTAATAGGTTAACCAAGGTAGGCAAAGCAGTCGTCTCCATAGGTATGTATTAATGGAGACCTTTGGATGGAGGAGGTTGCAATGCTCATCTCCGTTAACCAATTTCGCCCACCTCCAGTAAGTTTTTTGTAGTAGTGCTAAGTGGCATCTTCTCGTCTAGTAGCCAGTGTTCCAAAAGGCGCTATTAAGTGCTCACCTAGGCACGTTTATGCGCTAGGCTGAGGGGCACCAATTCGCCTAAGGAGTAGGAAGAGGATAGGTGGCGTGCCCCTAGATCCAGAGCTCCATTGCTTGAGGGAGTGATGGCGGGTGGCGTCGGAGGCAGCGAGCGCGCCCAGGAGTAGGCTAGCGGCGGGCGGCCGATGGCCGGTGGGTGATGGGAGCGATCGGGAGGAGAGGCAGAGGCAGCGGGCGTCGGGCATGGCTGGGAGGAGGCAAAGGCAGCGGTCGACGAGCACGACTGGGAGGAGGCAGAGGCAGCGGACGATGAGTGCGGGCGTGCGACTGGAATCGGGAAGAGGTGGATGGATAAGGTTGGGAGTGGGTAAGGTGGGCTGGACTCTTTGATGGGCCTTTTTTCCCAATCTAAGCCCATCTTTTCTTTTAGATGTAATATATGTAAATGTATATGTGTACAAAACGCCTTAAAACACGTTGGTTCGCTTAGGCTCCAGAAAGTGGGTCAATGCCTAGCTAGCGCCTAATATAACCTTGTGCCTAGCATATCCATCATTACCTAAAAACATAACTTGTTCTCACATATTTCACCTTGATTGAATTTAGGTTTAATGCATTTTCGCCTCCACTGTGCTCTGCCCCTGGGTAACCATTTATGTTTCCCCCCTTTTTACGAAATTTGAGATCTATAATTTATTTTGTGATGACTATGATACCCAAATATAAGCTAACATTGGCAATAATACGACAATGTCCAATTAAGTTTACATTTCGTTAAAATATAGCCTTAATATATTTTTCCTCGTGTTGCTAAGCACAAAAATATTTGCTCGTACATATATATCTTAACTTTAAATTTTGATATAATATATGCATGTGCTGATGTACAGTAAAAAAATAAAATAATGGAATAGAAACACATTTAGTTCAACGGTAATGAAAAATAAAAAAAGAAATTGAAAAAAAAAAGAAAATGTAACCGGGACGGGAGAGGTTTGGAACGGGAAAACCGGAATAGAACGTAACCGGATTACCGGAACGGGAGTTTCAGTAGGGCTTGCGATCCCATGATCCATGGGGGGCGTCGCCGATCGATCCACGTCCGACCCGCCTCCTGCTCTATCTATATACTCCGTGTCGACCTCCGTGTCCGACCCGCCTCCTAATATTTGTTACACTACTAATACTTGTTTATATTAGGAGGAAGAATTACTTCGTTGATTACACGGCGACGACGCGATCCCAATTCTCCCATGGCGGACGACGACGACGCGGCTGCTAAGAGACGACGACGGAGAAGCACGGGCACGGACGGCATCTCGGTTTTGCCTGAGCACCTCCAACACGAGGTCTTCTCCCGCGTGGGAGACGTCAAGGCCCTCTTCAAGCTCGCCGTGACATGCCGCGGGTGGCTCCGCCGCTTCACCGACCGGGCATTCCTCCGCGAGCTATGCCCTGGCAGCCAGGGCTCGGGCTCGGGCCACCGCGCGCGCCTCCTGGGTGTCGTCGTACAGGACAAGTGGTTCAATAGCGGGAACAAGGCGATGGTGCAGGCGCGGATGACGACGATGGCGGCACCGCCGCCGCAGCAGCGCGCGTCGTCGTCGGCCTTGGCGCCCGTCTTCTTGCCGGCCCTGGGCTCGCCGCTCGGCCCTGCTGGTCGTGCCCTCACCTCCTTCGTCGGCGGCGGCGACGACGACGGCACCTTCGACTATGCCGAGCCCCTAGCGGCGCGCCGCGGCATCGTGCTGCTGTGGCTCGCGCCCCGCACGCCCGAGGAGATGGAAGACCGCCACCTGTTTGGCGTCTGCAACCCCGTCACCGGCTACCGCCACGTTCTCCCGCCGTTGGAGTGCAGCCGGAGACTCGTCGGTTGTAGACTGGTCGGCTACGCTATCATCACAGCCGCCGACGACAGCAGCGTTAACGGGAGGCCGGCGCGCTGGACGTTCTCGCAGCTGCTCGTCATCACCCAAGATGGAGATCTTACCAGGGGCGAGGTCGACTCGGCGTACCTGCACTCGTACTCCGCCGCCACGCGCCGCTGGAGCGCGCCCACCAGGTGCCTCGACAGGTGCGTCTTCTCCCTGGTGGGCGCCAGATCCGCCGTCGTCCACCGCGGTGCGGCGCACTGGCTGTGCGTCGACGATGGCCACCGCACGTGGAGGCGACGGCCGGGAGGAGGCAGAGGCGACGGCGACGACCACCAACTGTACAGGCTCAGCGTGGAGGTGGCCACCGCGCGCGTCTCCTTGAAGAGGCTCCCCGTCCGTGTCGGAGGCAAACAGCTCCTCTGCGTCAACGGCGACGGCAGGCTCGCGGTCGCCTCCGTGTATCCTCTGCACGTGACTGTTTGGACTCAGCCACCAGGCGGAGCCGGAGACGACGACGATGACGATGACGACACCACTCCTGCGGTTGCTGCGGTGTGGCCCCGCACTTCTTTTAGAATAGCCCCGCAACAGCACCACAATGACAGGTGGTGCAACTTCAACCATGGATCGTTGCTCGCGCTGTTCAGGGGCAGCGGCGTCTTCATCCTCGACCTCGACACCAAGGTGATGGAGAAAGTCTTCATCCTCGACTTGGACAACAAGGGCAAGCGGTATGTGACGTGTGTGCCCTATGAGATGGATTTGGTGGAGTTCTTCACGCTCCAGCTTGGTGGCATACGAGAGCGACTCGGAACTACTACTATCCCAGGAACTGAATCTCCATAAATGTTAGTACTCTTCTTTCGTGATGATGCTATTTAAAAAAAAATCAACAATTGAGTTTTTTTGCTATTTAATTTTGTTACCTTTTTATGATTGAATATACAAGCATGCATTTGATGAATTCTTTTCGCACTCTTACAGCTATTGTACCCTAATTTAGCCATTTGTTGTCATGGTTGTAAAGAAAAGATATATTGTGACATGGTTGCAGCTTCTGTTAATAGTGGTTCCACTTGTTTCTTTTGGTTGGATGTTTGGAATAATCACATCCTGTCCGTACAACTTTTCTCATTTGCTAAGGACCAAACAAACTATTACAGTGCAACAAGTATGCCCAGCTCAACTTGTATGACCTTTTCCATCGAGCTGGTTCTGGTTCTAAGTGACCTCCATCTACAAGCAACCCTAGACCAATGGATATATATTTAGGGTTCCTCCATCTTCACCACAAAGCCACAGGTCCATTTAGTGTTCAGATGTCTCTGGAAGCCATGCTGTCAGAACAAGCGCAAGGTGTGCTACTAGCTTCTGCGAGACCGTTTAGGATTAACTTTAGTTGGTGGGAATTTGATGGAAGTCATGCTGTCAGAACAAGCGCAAGGTGCATCTACAGACTACAGGTATCAGATGGAAGAAGTTGAAGATGCCAGTTTGGACAAGTTTATAGCATAGATGATAAGATATCACTAGGGACAATGTCATCTTCGAGCAATAATTGAGTTTTATGCCCGATGGAGTTATATTGCCCTTGGAAGCAAACACATGGCTAATGCACTGTAACACCCCAGGGCCGGCACATGGCCCAAGCCAGGGGTGGGTTCCACCTACGTAGCAACCCGCTTGCGCTTCTATCCTCACTTCGCACAAAACTGTTAAACGAAGGTTACTACGGCCCTGTTTGGTTGAGCTGTGGCTATGGGAAAAAAGGCTAACTCTTTGTAAAGGTGTGAGTCATGGAAAAAAAGCTGCGTGGCTTTGTGAGAGTGTAGAAAAGCTGAAAGCTGTTTGGTTAAACAAGTATAAAATATACCTTTTATCTTTATCTCTCTTGAAACAACTATGGAAGAGCTTTTTATTCCACCAATTTCAAAAGCGAAAGCCAAAAGCCAGCGTGGTCAAACCACTTTTAAAAATGAACTACTGAAAAGCAATGCTTCAAAAAGCACCTCCAAAAAAGCACCCCTTTGGTTGGGCTTTTGGCTTTTGGGGCCAAAAGCCAAAGCCAAAAGCCCAACCAAACAGGGCCTACGTGTCCTTAGTCTGGCTATTTAAGCTGGTTCGGCGTACTCAGAATGCACGATATGATACTAAATTTCTGGTTGCACAGTGTTTTCCGCAGCTACACTAACTCGGCGCTACATAGCCCGAATTCAGTCCAGCCCAATTCAGCGCTACAACTACATTAGGCTGGCCCAACCGCAATTCGGCCCATGAGCTGGGTCTCACATCCACCCACCCTTAATGGGTTCGACATCCTCGTCGAGCTATCTAACTAGCTTACCCATACAGGTCAAATGCTCAAGATCGACTCTCTTGGCCCACGTCCGTATCACCAGCTCCCCGGCCCAAGTGCCATGCTAGCTGTTGCAGAGCCATGCGCAACCTGTCCGAGCTCCCGAGCCATACATCCGTGAAACCGCGAGTAGCCCGGCCCAACCGCAATTCGGCCCATGAGCTGGGTCTCACATCCACCCACCCTTAATGGGTTCGACGTCCTCGTCGAGCTATCTAACTAGCTTACCCATACAGGTCAAATGCTCAAGATTGACTCTCTTGGCCCACGTCCGTATCACCAGCTCCCCGGCCCAAGTGCCATGCTAGCTGTTGCAGAGCCATGCACAACCTGTCCGAGCTGCCGAGCCATACATCCGTGAAACCGCGAGAGTTGACTCTGAATATCATTTGTAACACCCCATCCCCGGCACACGGCCCAAGCCCACTCCGTCGAGGGGTGGGCCCCACCTACATAGCAACCCGCTTGTGCTTTCGTCCTTGCTTCGCGTAAAACGGTTAACCGAAAGTTACTACGCGTCCTTGGCCTGGCTATTTAAGCCGGTTCGGCGAACTCAAAATTCACGGCATGGTACTAAACTTCTGGGCGCATAGTGTTTTCTGCAGCTACAGTACTCGCGCTACAGTAGACCAGATTCAGCCCGTTCCAATTCATCTCTACAGCTACAGTAGCCCCGGCCCAACCGCAATTCGGTCCATGAGCCGGGTCTCACATGCACTACTGGAGGTAATAATCAAGAAGAGTCAATTTTGGTTAAGACAATATTTTAGTATACAAGTTTTACTAAAAAAATACTGGGATATCTTAACCACTAAAATTGTCCAAAGGAGGCTAATTTGGGAAAACTGACTAGGCCGGTTTTGGAACTTCTGCAAATTGTAAATTGGATTTACATTAGCGTTCCTCTCGTCAAGATGGTCGAAATGCATATATAAAGCGTCAAATTGGAGTCTAGATAAGGAAGTTACAACATCAAAAGAGATCGATCAGTGGCCGATTTCCAAAATTGCCCAGTTTTGGCTGACTGAAATCGAATTAGAATTGTATTATTACGGAGATTTCAATCCATTATGAAACATAATCCCACCCCACCTTATGTTAATAAAGGGCCACTATCGATTGATTTAAATACAATCATACAAAACAATCTACAACTTTATATGTCAACACATGTTTTTGATATAATACCACCCCACCTTACTTGTTGATCCTTGATCCGACAATCAAGGTTGGTGCCCTACACCAGCCGGGCAACCTAGGGCATCCCGCTAATGTTCACATCCTGTTAGGTCCCTTCTAGGCGAGAGTTTCAATGGTTTTTTACTAGTTTGTGTGAAAACCTGTCATTTTTCGACATATATAAGCACAATAGTTATTTTTTACTAGTTGGCTTGTAAACTTAGCTGTTCTTTCACCATATAAGCGTTAGGAATGAACACAAAACCGTCAGGAATATAATTTCTGACGGGCAGCCGTGATCGAGATCAGCTTGACAGAAAGCAGAGAATTCTCGACGGACATCCGACAGAAATAGTTCTGACGGCAACCCCCTGTCGGTTCTAAAACCCACCGGCGATTCCGGTGTATTGTCACTGACCGATGTGAATTTCCGTCGGGGAATCATAAACCGACAGGAATCGGCCAGATAATTCCTGTCGTTGCAGTACCGTCGGGAGAAAAACCGTAAACAGATTAAATTTCATTTTCCTATCGCCCAGCCGTCAGGAAAGTAATGACAGAAATCCCTTCCAAGCTCCTGATGGGAGTGGTGACAGGAATCAAGATCATGCTCACAGGCATCCATTTTGATTCCAGGAAAACAAAAAAAAATATTATTCTATCACTTGTATTTGGCATCACAGGTACAAATTTACACACACATTCTAAATCCAAATTGCACATTACATTTCAAACTGGTTCACAAGTCCAAATTCACCACATTGCTCGAGAGTCTGACTTCAACAAGTCTTACATGCTAAGTAAGTAAGTTCAAGAGGCAAGACTTCACCAAGTCTAGCTGCTTACATGCCAACTAAATAACAGTTCAAGAGGCAAGACTTCAGCAAGTCTAGCTGCTTACATGCAAACTAAATAACAGAGAGGCATTTTCACTCTCTGACATCTACATACTAGCACTAGTAAAAAAAGGGCTTCTATTCCCGGCTGCCAACCCCCTTTATTCCCGGTTACGCAGCCAGGAATAGGAGTTTGGGAATAAAGGGTTAGTAGCCGGGAATAGAAGTGGACCTTTAGTCCCGGTTCGTGATACCAACCGGGACTAAAAAGGTAGCCACGCCAGCGCCTGGGCTGGCCCCTTTATTCCCTGTTGGTATTACCAACCGAAACTAAAGGGTCTTTTTTTCTTTTCCTACTTATTTCAATTGATGATTCTTTTTTGTTTTAATTTGGTTTTCGAATACGCATTATTCGCTGCAAAGTAATATACGTATACGCACGCGTACTGTAAAGTTTTCGCTCGATCAATGCATGCAAGCAACACAAGTAAAAGTAAACTAAAACATAATATTACATTTCATCGTCACATGTAAAGTTTGCATTAATTGTACATTTCATCATCACATGTTCTTTGGATCAATATGAAATTTGGCTTTCATCATCACATATTTGGGTCATAGTAAAACTCGCCGCCGGGAGTTAAGACCTGATCATTCAGAAATCCACCTATTGTCTCTTGGATTGCTTTGAGATGGTGTGTGTCCAGGGTTTTTTCCTTCAACCAACGAGTCTTCAATTTGAGATATGAGATAAAGAAAAAGTATATTAGTATATATATATATGTATCAAGAATAATGATAAATAAATTGTATCTATCACGAATATATATATATATATAAATATATGTATGAAGAATATATATATATGTGTACACTTACCTTTTTTTGCTCTAGACTAGTTCTTTTTTAGCACACTCTCATGAACTCACAAATATAGTATCCACAGAGATTGGTCCCCTAGGGCTGCAGCAGAACCCACTTTATGAGAAAAAGATTCGTCATCATCCGAGCATAGGGAAATTGAACTAAGGTAGGTATATAGTACTTACTTTGTATAGCACTACTTTCAGTGGCACTTTGCGTTTCATATGGTGTTCCTGACAGACCTTTTTCCAACAACTACCAAATAACATAAAAATTATTTGGACAATTAATTTGCATGCAGAGAGACTAGAATAATTTTGCTAGTGAGACTGCAATTACCTCTGAATAGTATCTATCATCTCTTGGAACTCTTTTTGCTCTTTTCTCATCGAGTCCAAGATGCCTAGAAGACCTTTCTCCAGATCGAGTTCCATCAATATCCAGTGTTCACTGCCATGTTCATTAACACTCATTAATTAGCTAACAGGTACAGTGAACATATATATATATGGATACACGATCGTCGACATTATGAACACTTACCTGAAGTTGTAGGGGAAGAGTATACATTTCTTGTCACGTTGCTTCTCTAAGAACATCTTGATATTGGC